ACTCCACTCCTACTCCACTCCATCCATCCATCCATCCATCCATCCATCCATCCATCCATCCATCCATCCTTCCATCCATCCATCCATCCATCCATCCATCCCTCGGCCGTTCATTGGCCCGCAGCTCTCCGACACGTCACTCTCTATTTCTCTCCTCTCTTTCCCTCCGCTTCTCGACGCTGATCCCTCCTTCGACGACCTCGATCGTAGATCAATTCGTATCTCCACCTTCCTATATTTTCGGAAGTTTCGAAAAATTGCAACTTCGCAATTCTCGCGTTAGATTATGACGTAGAATCGTGATCGCGTAATGATTTATTATACTCGAGGGACGAGTTGTTACGTCTTCTCTCCGTCTACGAGGCGAACGAAGATCAATGTGGAATGACAAATATTCTGTCTTGCGAAATATCGAGGCGATTTATCACTCAGGCTAAGACGAAGAGTCTTTTTTCGCTTCTCCGAAATTTGGCATTAAACGTGAGTTGTAAATACAGTATCGCGCTTACTATCTCTCGAAGATCCTGGAAAAATTCGGAATTCTCGAAGAATCTCTCTGTAAGGAAAAATTCGGAGAATTTTCGCGGAAATTTTTATCGCGTTCGCTCCTTCGAAAATTATTTTATTTTTACTCTTGCGAATATCGAGACAAGTTATAAATAAATTTTAAGATTTTTTTTTTAATAAGTTTTATCTAGATTTTTACGCGAGTGCTTTCTCTTTTCTTCCACAATCGTTTCTGTCGTAGACAGTCGTTGTATGGGTAGGCTCTTGTAGAGATTCCGTCGCGTTTGCAAAATTAAACGTCGTTCGGACGTGAACGCGTCCGAAAAATCAACCTGCTTCGTCAATGCAATTATGCGGTGAATGCGTGGGCGAAATGCAAAGCGCGCGCATGAATGCATGTAGAAAGCGACCCCCATAACACAATGTCTGCTAATCGCTGTCACAGCTGAGAAAGTATCGATCCCTTGTCCGTGAGGAGCGAACAACATCAAATATGCGAGCAACATTTTGCCAGAATCATCTACATCGATCCCTTTTCACACGGATCAACGATATAGACATATAGATATTTCACTACGAGCGAAATCTAAATATCTTTACTCCTGATCACGGTTTAATTTACACTTTTTATCACTTCCTAATTCGTGGGGGGGAAAAAAAAATAAAAGATAAATTAAACCGATCGATTAAACTCGATCTAGATTAGCAGAAAAAAATGATCATCGGGATTGTTACCGAGGTCAAACCTCGAGTGACAAAGTCTCTAATTGTATAATTTGTTGTAATTAATATTTTATTCCGTCGAACCTTTCGGAATTCTTTCCGTACGTTTAGATTTATATACACGCGTCACCTTGACACTAACGCCCCGCTCAAAGTCATGGCTAATCGAAAAACGTGTGTGACGTCCTCGAGAGAAGCCGGACGAGTTGTTCGCGCGATCTCGACCGTGACTACTGAGGGCTGTACGTAACTGTAATCAGCACACGCCGGTGTCGCCGGCGATTTACATCAGAACTCGTTGACGAGCCGTATATGCTTGGAGTGCTTTCCATCCAGCGGCAAGCCGACGCGAATTGATTCGTAATGTCATTCCTGCTTTCTATTTAATTTGTGTCGCCGCGTGTCGATGACTCACGTCGACTTCGCGCGAGTCAATGCTACTTCGGCGATGGCTCGAATGGAAGGGGGAATGATTTAGCCTCAACAAAGTGGTAACTTGTTGAAGCACTCGTTCGTTAGCCTTAAATTTCTTTCATCTAGAAAGCGCTACTCGAATGGGATTTTGTCAAAAGAAAAAAAAAAAGAGAGAGAAAAGATGCTTCTTTTGGCACAGAAATTTTCGCGATGGACGTTACGTGCACGCAAACTCTAAAGTTTCTATAAATTAACGGAGTAAATTAAAATTAATTGAATTTTATATATTTTCTAAAATTAGGACACGCACATACGTATCTCTGTATTAACTTTTGCGTTTGATAGTCATATCTTGTTTACCACATTGAAGCTACCAACTTGAGTGAACTTAAACTGATCAAATATCGCGAAGTCATGTAAAGGTCATGGCGCAAACATTCACTTTCTAATGAATATGTATTATAAATAATATCACAAACATCCATTGGAATTCTAAATAGCATCGAATACAATTTTCTAGTCAATTTCAACAGGTCGTAACACTGATAATTCAATGATGACGATACTGCATATTTATGCTTTGAATATTGAGTAGAAAATGCTGTTTTCGTTTTGAAAACTGTCGACCGCGAGAGAGAAAAATAATAACTTGGGTGTCAACGAGATTTCACGAAGAACAGATTTATGACGTCGGTTTATGACGCGTGAGAGGAAAAAAAGAAGAAAGAAGGACAGCGTCGCGACGCCGGCAACGAATTAATCATGTCATTCCTCGAAATTTGACAGCTCGACCGGAAAAGCCGGGCCATTGTCATAATGCGATAATCGGCGAGGGGATCAGAATTTATCTCCTGCTGCTCCATAGTTTTCCTCCTTTTATAATTTCAATTTTATAATTTTAATCTTAAAATTTTATCCTTATCTTAAACTTTTCAAAAATTTATTATTGTATTTCGGAATATGTAGGAATATATATGTAGGAATATGTTCCCAATGTCAAGAAGCGCAATAACAATTTATTATCTTTCTTCGAAAGATCCGAAAGAGAGCTATTTTTATTGAATTATCTTATCATTAGGAATGTAAGGCGATAAATAATTTTCTACGTCGTTGTGAGTAAGAGTCTTGACCGATTCCTAGAAAAAAAAATTCTGTATCGGCAGACATGGAAGAATCATCTTGCATCGTCTGTGACAATGATGATTTGTCTCCGACGTCATGTTAAACGTCATAGAAAGCGACTTGAGGATCGCGTTTTTCTTCCGTTGATGATATTTCTCGAGTAAATATGTCAAACTATTGATGATAATGTAACTTCTCGCAAAGAACCAAGTAAATGTTGTATGTTATGAAAAAAGACGATTATGACATATTATGATAAATTGTCAGGGACACGAGGTGATATTGGTTTCGAAGAAACAAAGTAGAATTTGTGATCGATCAGGAAATAGAAGGAAAATGAATCAGAATCAAGTCCGAGTCTTCTGACATTTCCAGATCTTTGATGTCCGATCGAAGTTGGAGGTAGGAATAGATTGCTCCGAGAAGCCCTTTGTCTCGTAGTTAATGAGCAGGTTCGGTGATTTCAGGCACGTGCATCGATTTCCAGATACAGCCACGAAATTGCTTTGTAGCAGCAATTGTAGAATTCCTCCATTATTTGAAAGATATAACGAGACACAGGCTTGTTATTGGGATCCACTTTTTGTTGAGATGAAAATACACAGATGAAAATATCTTAATTACTACTAATCTTTCGAGTAACACGATTTATTAATTTTTATTACGAACGTTTTTCGAAGATAATTTTACCGTGTATATTTGGATAATTGATAATTATGATTTTTTTTTTTACGCTAGAAGCAGCTTTGGCAAAACTGCATTTGAACCATAATTTTTAAATAACAACTATTTGAAAATAATGAAAGAGCACTCTAAAATATTAATCAGAAGTGTTAGATATAGTTTTATTATTTTTCAAGAGACACAACAACGATATATAAATGATGTATAAATTATTTTGAATACAATTTAATGAAAGAAAAAAGTTTTTAATTAATGTTTCCGAAACAACAGCTGAAAATAGACTTGATAACAGACGAATAAAAATTATAATCCAGCTGGTATAAGAAAATCTTATGGCATAAGAGAGATCAATTAGAAGAAATTCTTTCATCGAATCGGCTGGTCAAATTAACGATATTTAGATATCAAGTATATTATGAAATTTTTAGATAAATAGGTAAACAACATCCAACGAGCATTATCTCTGATTCATGCGTAACTTAGAAACACTCACTCAACTTTAAATCGCCTTCATTTAAAAACTTATTGTTTGAAATTTGAGCAGGACAAAACATTTTTTTTTTTGGCACAGAGAATTATCCCATGAATTCTGAGACATTCTACATGAGTACGTACATAGTATATAGTTACATAATTACATTAATCAATTACATTAATGATGATTAATGAAAGAACGTCACGAACGATGAAAAAGCAAAAGGGATATGGAGGTCGTCGATGTAACGTGATATCTCAAAATCAATATTTATCGTTTAAGGACAGAGTCTAAAGACTCTGTGTGTAACGTTTTATGGCTTCCGCCTGATGGTTTAACACGTCGGCAAAATTGATTGTCAGCCGTGTAAAACCGTGTTTCCAACGGATCCGGCAACGGTAACGAAACCGCAATGCAGCGCAGCTTGTGTGCGATACTTCCAGGCGAACGTATGACCTGCGGCTCGCGAATGCGATCGGTCGGAAACCGATCGAGTGGCAAATCCACACTCGCTCGCCGCATCCAATTTCCGGTTGTGTTTTGTTACTTTGTACGCGCGTCGGTCATGATGATCGAGTCTGGTAATTCTATCCGAAACTGATTCTCTCTCTCTCTCTCTCTCTCTCTCTCTCTCTCTCTCTCTCTCTTCTTCTTCTTCTTCTTCTTTTTTCACTTCAAAATCTTAGTGCGCGCGACACGAGCCGTGTACCGCGCGATAAATCGCGAAACTTCAAAAAGATTTCGCAGCAAACGATTCGTTTATCATATCAGTCTCAACGGGAATAGTTTCCGATAAGCAAATATCATATTCGACTTTCTGTGTAATATTTGTGTGAAACTAAACAGGCAAGTTGTTGGGGAATGAAACTTGATACGTTTATTGAGTATCAATAAACTTACTTGTTGAATATATCTTCTTCTTCACTCAATTTCATTCAATTCAAATAAATATTATATTTAAAAATGATGATGAAATTTATAAAGATATTCAATTTTTTTTTCAAGCTGTGTTTTCTAGAAAAATCTTCTAGAAAAATTAATATTTAGAAGATTGATACGTATATAAAAATCAGTTTCCTCATTAAAATAAATTACCGTACTTTTTGAATAATCGAAATAAATTCGCTATTAAGTTCAAACTTAAAAAAAAATTGTTATCTACTTTCTGATTTTTTTTTCTTGAAAAATTATATTTCTTAAGAACAGAGCGTTTTATTTCAGAAGGTTATATTTTCATCGTATTGTTCTCGATCGCGTCCATTCACGCAAATTTTTGTTGTTTTTATATAACGTAGACATGTGAATGACTTTATAAGTATTTAAATCTGTAATATTTCATTTGAAAAAGAGTAAAAGTGTGGTGGATGCGGTCTGTGGGTTTTCATAAATCACACACGACTCACTCGGTCATTCGAATAACGTCGCGAGTGAGAAACTCGGCAGCGGTAAATGTTGACGTGGCCGCGTGGCGTTTTTTCTGCTTTCAGGATGCGCGGATGGCGGCGATGCGCCGAAGAAGAAGGGTTTCTTCAAGGGCTTCTGGAAGCGTTCGCGCCACTACTCGCTGGAGAACCAATAGCCCAGGTGCGCGAGGGTGACGAATCACCACCATCATCAGCGGTACAGGCAGACGCGGCAGCAACGGCAGCGGAGCATCGCAGCCACCACGACCCTCGCGAGCAACCCCTGCTGCTGTATCGTCCAGTAACCCCGATTTACATCGCGTATATCGACCGCGACTCTACCCTCCCATCTCCCTGATCGACGTCCCTCCGCTCGCGACGGTGCACCTCCGCTTTTCTCTCGCGTGCATGCGGAATTGGCGCGCGTTCCACCCCTCGAGGTCCGATCAACTGCGTTAGCATGATTCTTGCATCATCCGTGAACCAAAATAATATTTTATATATGATTTTATAACTTTTTTGGAAATTTTTTCACACACACACACACACACACACACACACACACACACACAGTATACATACCCACACTGGAAAACACGCGTTAATGCTAAGGAAAAGTAATATTATTGATTAACATTATTGCCGATAATATATGATTAACTGCGGTTATAGCTGGTAATATAACGAAGGAACCCGATGGTAATGATGATAACTACGATCGTATGTATTTAATAGAGTTTTTAAGTCAATGTGTCGCATTCATCACCTCGGATACCTGAAAGAGACGACGGCCGACCGACAATCGGTCGGCCGAATGCCAAAGATTCGGTTCCGTTGGTGCGTCGAGCTCGGGAGGAACTCGAGGCGAGAAGAAACCATTCGGCGAAACTCCCCCCCCCTCCCTCCTTTCGCAATCGCAGCGTGTCCTTTCGTTATATATTTGTAAAATATTTCCCGTCGGTTTCATATTCCTCCGCGATCACGATCGCGACGTTCATATATCGAAACGCGATGGCGAAAAGGAGAGAACTGCGTTTATCTTTTCTTTGAAATTTACATTTTGTTATCAAATGCGAAAGGAAGATCTACCGTTTCTTCTTTTTTGAAAAATAATAATATCTGGATGTAGGAGTAATCATCAATGGAATGAAATCTCAGAGGCAAAAGGATATATATATATATATATATATATTAATTGCCGTGAGAAAGTTTCAGATTTCGCGCGCTAGGAAGAATGATGCGTGGGGATATGCACGTTTCCAAGCTTACTTTTTTTGCGAAGGATCTCGTCGGGGTCGTATCTTCTTGCCTCTGACATCCTCGATCACTCGTTAAATATTAGACAAATTGACAGACGCTTGAGAAATATAATTTATCTTACTATAAAGGTGTTCCACTTTATTATTTTCCGTGTTATCTCTCCGGAGTTCGTTAAACCGTTAAACGACAGACGACCTTCGCGACTTGCAAACGGACGGAGGTCGTTCTCAGGAGTCTCATTTTTATGCAGAATGCGACAAACAGACGAGCGACGTTCGTTCTCTGTTTTCCGAAGAGAGGTGGTGTTTTCGCGCGGCGTTTTCCGTCGTGGACGGAATCACGGGCACATCGCAGAATTTAAATTAGCAGCAGGATGTACTACGCGCCACAGGTTTTCCCGATCGGCAAAGGACAATGGGCATTCACGGAGCATCTGTCACAGGGGCAAGGTACAAGTGTTAACCTAACACTTTGTCGCTCGTTCGTCGACGTTACCGATAAGTCGCTTTAAAGGTAATCTAGATAAGCGTACACCGCGAAGCGTTAACGCCATTATTACCGCGTTAGAACCGCAGATAGAACGAATTAGAGCAAATGAAATCAAGGTCGAATTAAATTAAAGCTGGGGAGGGAGGGGGGGGAGGGGCAATGAGATGAGCACACCTTACGATTCGAGAAGCAGGATGTGAATATCAGAATTAAAGACAGAACTGATCGAATGAAAGTTCAGATGAATCTCAATTCGCTAATTCGAATACCAGAGTTTCACAGTGGTTGAAAATAAACACACGTAAAAAAATACACGATAAAAAGGATGACACGCTAAAGGAAGGCGTCCTAATTTTCCGAGAGCTTTTTTTAAGTGTGTATCTTAATGTATATTTTAGCTACCACTCCCAGGAATTGCGGAATTCAACGAGGAAACGAGGTAAATCCACCTCGAAGTTACCTCGTTTCCGCGGGATTCCAGTTTATCTTTCGCTTGTTCGAGACTTTCGTCTGCTGGAAGGCTGGAAAGAGGACAGTCCGACACTAATAACGTAACATGTCGTACGTAATAGAACCACTGCGGAAAACTCGTCGCGCCGCGTGCACTTCCCCCCCTCCCCCCTCCCCCACCGCTCGAAGATCCGGTGTCATCTGCGAGACGCCGTTTGGCCGCCGAGTGATCTTCATCGAGGTCACGACTAACCAATCGGCAAGATCATGCCCGCGATGCGATTCTCAACAAAATGACCGTCTAAAGTATTTCGATAGCAGGTTGCTACGTGAAACGCGATCCGTGAAGGGCGAAATGACAATCGCAAAACGACTCTGAAATAATTTTAATAAATCATCGGGTAAAATGCGCGTCATCAGCTTGATCAGCGTTATTATCTTTTATTCTTCCGAACTTGCGCGTTTATTTCGACGTAAAATTCTTCTTGTATTTCGTGCCACGAGGCGCGAAAGGACCTCGGGGAGGTTGCAATCCTCGCCGGTGCGACCGACGAGGGGACACACGTCTGCCGGATAACAAGCGAATTGCGATGCGATGACTAATGTCGCCGTAGCGACGTAGCAAAATATAGCCATTTCGCCTTCACTTAGAGATTCTCGCGTCGAGCCAGAACGGCCAGGTTCGTCACGACGGTCGTCATCCTCCTCGTCGTTATTTCACATCACGTCACGTCACGTCACGACGGCGAGCCCGGAAGCGCCAATCGCTCGCAACGAAGAAGCTACCTTTGCTGCAGACGTGGAATCAACGGGCGGAATTTTCGCGCGGACAAAAAAATACAGTGGAATTAAAAGGTTAAAATCCTCCGAGAGAAGGGGGAAGGATTAGAAAGGAAGAAGGATTTGGAATACAAAAGAGAAGTGGTAGCTAAGCACCGAATGCCTTATACGCGAGGATCCATCGCGCCGACACCATCCCGAAGGCGGCTTCCCCATCGAATAACGATATCGATCCATGGAAACACTTCATATATTGATTATAAAAGTATAAAGTGCACATGTTCCAACATTTTTTATCTTAATTTTTGTAAATTTTTATATATATATAAATAATAATTGATTTAAATTGATTATTCGCGAAAAAAGAATTTTGTTGTCGTAATAAAATTAATAAAATTACAGCTACAGCTAAAATATTCGATATAAAATTTATGTTATCATAACTGATTATTTGACAGCAAAATCCGTCTTGTTAAATAAATTTGTCTGCAAAAAGTACAAATTTATTTGCCGAGCAAATACATTTCGCAGAATTCGTTTATAACAAAATTGCTTTCAAATATGATTAATGAATATTCAACAGGAGTTTTTAATGAATTTTCTTTGTTCTGTGTATAACTAACTATATTCGTTACGAATAAAATAAGATAAAACGCACTGTGTCAGCAAATCTCTTTTTTTCCACGGTCGTAACAGTCTTTTAACAGAATGATCTAAGTAAAAAAAAAAAAAAAAAAAAAACTAGGTGGAGAGATCGATATCCTATTCGTTTAAAGTGCGATCTGTATACGATCTGAAAACAATGCAATATGTATATTTTTCTTCAGAACGTCGACGCGTTAACAGCGTCGGAATGCGAGAATCCTGTACGATATACCTGCGTGTTGCAAAGTGACTCCAATTTGTGCGTGTCCGCTACATCCGGCGTAAAACGATGCCGAAAATACTTCGGCAATCCTCAACGAGACTCACAGCATGGTATCGAGCGAGAAAATCTTTCTGAAAATCAATCATGGTTCCGCGCACCACGTGTTCACAGGAAGAAGAAATATATATATATCTCGCGAAATGATGCAACTGCACGATTTATACAAATTGCACAAATTGCCTTTACCAAGGTGAATTAACTTTAATTTTGGTTTAATTTATCTTTTATTTTTCTCTTTTGTTCTAAGAACTGGGAAAAAAGATGAAAAGGTAAATTGAAGCGAGATCGAAGTTAATCTACTTTCGCAAGAAAATGGATATATGCGGCCTGGGGAAACCTTCGCGCGTCCTCGTTACGTTATATAAATTTTCAGATTCGAAAAAACACACTCCCACCAACCACCAATCAGACACATACATACACACATATGCGCGCGCGATCAGGATAAGGAAATTTATAAATATATATTGTATCATACGTGCTCTCTCGCAACCTTATCTCGCCTATCTAGATTACGATGTAACTCTGTGTAAAATTACATACGTACGTATGACACGCATCTATCGCTATATTGTTTATCTACGATGTTACGATCGATGTAACCGGATGCTCTTCCTCTCGCCGGCGTCAAACCGTCAGAAATAAAATTCCGTCAGTGAGAAAGGGATACTCGCAGATCAGACACTTTCGAGAAGGAACACCCTATGCCAAAATTCCAATTCTACAAAAAACACTCGATGGTACCAAAAAGTGTTTCATTTTATAATAACTAAAACCTTTAGAGATGTTTGCGAAAAAATCGATTTTCATATTTTGTTTAGGTAAAATAAGAACTTTTAGAATGAGCGCTTCGACCGTAAAGCGAGAAAGGATTAATTAATATTTAATAAAGCAAATAACATTTCACAAGTTGTAGAATTACATCAAAAAGAGAATCCGGATGGGTCGAGGTAGGAAAGTAATTAATAATCGAATATGCGTTGTTCGTAAAACTCTGACTCGGATGTCGAGAAACTAGTACAAAATCGATAGCTTTACTATTTCGAGGGGATATGCGACTCTCGCGATGCGAAAAATCTCGGATGTGCTGAATCCGGCGAGATCGAGCGCCCGGTGCATCGACACCAACACCGACGAATACTGCCCCCGAAATATAATAAATTTGTAAGCCGAAGTTATTGGAATTGTCCTGTCTCCGTGAGAGAGAGAGGATATAGAAATATATCGACATTTTTAGATTAATCACATGTGTATTCATTTGCACTCGACTCGATGACGAATCACGGTGTTGTTGCCAATAAATTTATTACGACCGGATTTATACATTTATTCCTGATATTTTACGTTCGTACTTTGACGTTTGACAATATTTACGACATATTTATTACCAAGTATTATTAAAAAAAATATAAAATATAAAATATTAAAAAAAATATAAAAAAAAATCACATGGGAAATTCCTGAATTAACAAATGCCATAGCCCGCTAATTTTGGACAAATTTTAATTAACAAATTTTATTATTAAGTCAAATTTCAAGATCGAAATTTCGAAAAGTCGTTTATCTGCGATTTCAACTAAATATAAAGAAAGATTCTTATTTTCTATTTGATTACATAAATTTCCTATTAAATAGAATTATAAATTTCAATTTTCAGAGTAAACAGAAATTTTTATGCTCATACATTTCCTATCTTAAAATGTCACATACGAGCGGGCATGTGTTATACATCATAGGAATGTTAAAAACCAATTGATCAATATTGATATCAAGAAAAATAAAAAAATATGTAATAAACGTTGACTAATCAGGCTCTTTTTTGAGCCATCAAAAATTTTTAATCCATGTTATAATCCATAGAAATGTCTTCTATTAAATTGATACAGAATAAAATCTCTTTTATGTTCCGATTAAATTTCTCATTTTTTTTTTTTGTATATATGTCACGCATAAATTTCGATACTTACGGCTTGTTTTGTATAACAAGGTTCGCGATTTGCAAGAAAAAATACGAAAATACGAAAATATTCAAACGACTCGATATTTTTGAGCGAGACTCGATGATAAAGCGTGCCATAGTGTGTTGAAGCTCAAAGGCGAACACTTCGAGCACTTCTTTTAATCTTCTATAATTCAGAATCCATGGTTATTACAACACATGTTCACATAACGTTTTTACTCGTTTTACCGTGTATTACAATTCACCTCTCAAAGTATCGCCATGTATTTATGAAACGTCCTGCTGTATAAAGCGACGATGCTAACTAGAAAGAAAACGACACAGCCGCAGGCTATTTATAATGCCTTGGTGAAATGCCGTTTTGCGCGGAAATGCGGCAGTCTTTCGCGGAAATACCCACCGCGGTTTCCGTCGATAGAACGATAGTAGACCTATATTTTTAAAAAGTTGGAGAAAATATACACTCATTCCTCTCAAAAGTACATTCGTCGGTTTCCTCGAGATGTTATATTCCTCCTATGATTTAAGTAACTATGCACAATTAAAGATTACAATTTTCATTTCATTAGTGGAAATGATAGAAAATATTTCACATGTTCATTTCCATCGAGGTAAAAATTTAAAACGACGCAAAGGTAAAATGTTTCCGAGTGATTTTAAAAAGAAAAGTGAAATGCCATACCTACCTTAATTGCGTTTCGTCGAGAACACGGTCGCATTTCGCTTTGGATTTTGTTAGCAACTCGCTGGAACGCTCGCATTTAGACGCAAACACCAAACGTCTTAAAATTTTCTCTCTCTCTCTCTCTCTGTCTCTTTTCTTTTATACCACTTTATACAAATTTATTACTCTCTTAAACACAATTTCGCTTTGTTCAATTGTGGCTCTCGTCATCGTCGATGCAAAGGATCTTAAGAGGAAGTGTCTCAGCTTTACAAAAGTTACATCTAATTGTCCGGCGTGTATATGCTCGTTGATCCCTCTCATCGATCCTTTTCTTTTCTCTTTTATTATATCCCTCTTCCCGCGCCTCCCTTTCGACGTCCTTTCCTCCCGCTGGATAACGCGTCGAATTTCGGCTCCGAGGCGAAAAAGCATACAGAAACAAGACACGCTCTCCTTACTTACTCGTACAGAAGTCGTAAAACTACGTTGTGTAAAATTTTTACAATAATACGTTGTTACGAATAACTTTAATATAGCTATTTTTATGGTACGAGATCAATATTGACAATCTTTATTGGATCATTTTTTTCTTCGAGGGAACTTGAAGAAACAAGTGTATTGATAAAATGCGCGAAGAATAAATATATTTTTGTTTCACGTTTCCATTTTGCTGAAAAGATCATTTATATCAGCTTATCGAAGTTCACTAAAAATAAAGCATTCTTGCATCACTCCAAATTTTCTGGGAAAAAAAAAAAAAAAAAAAAAGAAGATCGTTTGAAATCGGCCAAGAGACGATCGTCGAGAGGAAAGGAATATGTCAAGCCTACACGAAACGCAGAAGTGGAGCCGCGGAAGAGCGAGATTAGATACCAAACGTGCCTGGACAAACGTCTAGAAGTCACTCTGCCTTCTTTTTTTTTTTTCTCTTTTTTATTACAATTATTACTTCAATGTTTATTCCTTCTTTTGTTATCAATAAAAATCGTTACATAGTAGTTTGGGCCGCTGCTTGGCGTCAGACGAATCGACAAGCATCCAATTATAGTAGTAATAGTAGCAGTAGTAATAATAGTAGTAGTAATAATTGGTAGCGGTATCGTGTATGTGTGTGTGTGTGTGTGTGTGTGTGTGTGTGTGTAGCCTGTCTGAATGTGTGTACGTGTACGTGTGTCCGTGCATCGATAAATACGCGCGCCGACGCGAAATTTCAAGTACACGGGCAGAAATTCGCAGGTACACCATCGTTAAATTAAAACGACTCAGCCTCATAATCGAACGTGGACGAAGTGAGAAGATCCTCTTCTTCCTCCTGTCTCTTTCCTTCTCCTTTATCTCTCTTCCCTCTCCTCTCTCTTCCTCCTCCATCCTCCGAAAATAAGTCTCTCGGCGAGACGGTCTCTTAAAGCGTACATATTTCGCTCTGCTCATTGTTTTCCCGACTAACCGGGAAGCCGGAAACCGATCTAAGAGGATGCGGAGGCAGGACACGAAAAGAGATAAGATGATGCGACCACGCGCGAGGCGGACATCAAAGTGAGTAAATGAAGATAAGGGGCGGCAACAAGCGAATAAGAGCGCCGATTAAAATCAGGTCTTGTTCTTGTTTAGTTCTAATCGCTAATCTTGTTCTAATCGCTAATCGAGTATCACGAGCGCGAAAATGTTATCCAATGCTGCTTCAGTCATTGGTAGATACAAATCAGAGAAGCTCCCGTTAATTTGGGCCTTCATCTCCCCTGTCGACGCAGTAGAAAAATCCCCCCT